ATTAAAAAAAAAAATCAAAAATTGAAATTAAAAATAACCTTAAATTGAGTTTGCAGATTTATTAACCTTAGAAAAACTAAGAAAAAACTGGTTTCCGAATTAAATGTAGTGCTTTTTTGGCTGAGTTACTGATTTTTTAAATTTGTTTTTTTATATCAAAAAAAGTTAATTTTTTTTAAATTTTATAAGGGGTAAGTAACATTGTCAAAATTAAAAAAAAATAAAATTGGCAAATTTTTTAATTTATTTTTTTAATTTTAAAATTAAATTAAAATTCAGGTAGCACAGAACATTTTTCCAAATTGAAATTAATTCATTTTTTGGCTTACCTATTAAATTTTTAAGCTTTAATTTTTTCAAAAAATTTTTTAGTATTTTTTTTTTTATTTTAAAAGTAAAAAAAAAATAGATTGGCAAAATGTTGAATTTTTTTTTTAAATTTTAAATAACCTTTTAAAAACTTAAAAATTGTAATTTATTATTTTTAAGCTTAGCTATTAAAATTTTAATCTTTAATTTTCCCCACTACAATTTTTAGTAATTTTTTTTTTTTAATTTTCATAAAACTACTAAAATTTGGATCCTTAAATTTGATTTTAAATTTTGAAATGTAGCATGTAGTTTTAGTGATTGTCAAAATTCTCAAAATTGATGCAACATTTTAATTATTAATAATAAAAATTAAAATTAAGGATGCATAAGGATTTAATAATCTATTAATAACTTGGCTTTGTTATGATCGATTTTCGGACCCCTGAATACAATTGCAAACTTTTGAAGGGTGAACAGACTTGGGTTTCCCGAAGTTTGAAGCATTTAAAATAATAAATTTAAATATAATTAATATTTATATTAATTTTATAGACTTGGATGCTATCAATACACCTTTTTTTGAACAGTGAACACCAACTGCTGGCGACTTCAACTGCAGTGCAATGTTAATATAGCGATAATCGTGGATCCATCTACTAATTAATTGACTCTTTGTGTTCGCTTTATTTTGTATTTTGTTTTCCTTTTTTTTTCTGGCCTTTTTTCGCTCTCGTTTGCCACCATCTTTGAGCCGCGTGGACGCCAGCCAGCAGATAGCCAGATAGATAGGTGCAGTCCCAGCATCCAGCATCCAGCATCCAGTGTCCAGTGTCCAGTGTCCAGTGTCCAACCCAGACGCAGCGCATCTCATCTCTCGCGGCGCTTTCATTTCATTAAAAGCCTGTTTCAATTTTCTGCATTTTAGTGCCTGATGCACTTTGGCATCTCGAGGTAAGGCAATCCACTCAGCCGTGTTTTTTGTTGTATTTTTTCTTTTCGTTTTTTTGTTTTGCGGTTCGGTTCTGGCCCGCCTTCCTTTTGGCTTTTAGCCTCGGAGAACCCCGGCTTTTGTGGTCTGCAACATATATTTGCACTTTGTCTGTCCTGCTAGTCTTTGGTCTTATATTTTATTTTATATTTTTGTATTTCTTGTATTTGTTGCTCCTCCAGATCATCCTCTTGCTCGATCTGCAATCTCCGGTGTTTGAATGACCTGGGACATACTATCACAGGGTTTTTAACCCATGTTCGTGGCTAATTTTAGCCAAATTTAGACTAAAAGCATGGCAAAAATTATAATTAATTATTTTCTAACTTGTATATGGTTTTTTAAAACATTTAACTTTCACAAGCCCGAAAAATTGGCTACCAAAATGTAACTAAGGTGAAATAATAGAATTAACACTGGGGAACTTTATGAGCATCATAAAATATTGAATATTAATATTTATTTTATTTTATAATTATTTTATCATTTATTTTATATATTTCTGTGACATTTTTTTAAAGTTTTTATAGCTTTTTTTTAACTATAATAAAGTAAATAATATGATATGATTTATTTAATATATTTCTGCGCAAATTTTTAAAGGTTTTATAGGTCTTTTAAAAGAAGAATTAAGTAATTAAGTTAAAGTTTTTCAATGTTATTTATGTTATAAAACAAATTTAATTGCATGTATTTAGAATTTATATTTATAATTTTATTATTTCAATGTCATAATTATATTTTTATTTGGCATTTTTTAAAGTTTTTATTGCCTTTTTTAATTTAGAGATGTTTATTTTTTATTGAGTTTTAAAGGGGTTTTTTTTTCAATGTTATTTTAAATAATTAAATGTTCTTACTCTAAAAATCTATAAAACAAATATATAATTGCTTAATAATATATGTTTTTATTTTACACTTAATTTTTATTTATAATTTATTTTTATTACGTTTTTTTTTTTTTTATTTTAATAGCTTTTTTATGTAATTTTTAATAATAATGTAATGTGAAATGTTTATTTTTTTATTGAGTTTTAAGGGTTTTTTTTTTAATTTTAAATTATAAAATTTTCCTTTTTTATAAATCTAAAAATTTTAAATACATGTATTTATTCAATTTATTTATTTTTATTTATATTTCTATTATGTCATATTTATATTTTTATTAATTTATTGTAAAGACATACATATATGCTATTTTTTAGCTTTAATTTGTTATCCTTTAAACCCTGTTGCCATTTTCCCATCAATGGGTCAATCATGGGTTAATTGGTCACCTTGCTTGCGTTGATAATTTTGACATTTAGTCTCTCTTATCGGGGAGTTCATTTCTGTTGAAAATCGAAATGGAAATGGAAATGCCGCGCCATCTCCATCTGTGGGGTCTGAATTAGCACCTACACCACCGGCTCCGAGAGGGCAGAGATCGGCTGTATCGGAGTTCTTTATTTGTCCGCGGGCAACTTTATTAGCACCCCAGCGGCACTTTCATCTCCGCCGATGGAATGAGACGGACCCCGGGTCCTGGTCTAGTAGTTGCCTGTGCCAGGATATGGCAAATTATATATCTGTACGTATATACATATATATTTTTTTGGTATGCCTTTGTTTTCTTTTTTTTGCTTTAGAAGCTGCCTAAAGGGAACTCATATTCGGGGGCTTTTATCATTTTTATTTCCGATCTTGTTGTTGTTTTTTTTCACAATTCTCTCTCCCTTTTTTATGGTTTTATTGTCTGCTGGCGGGATTTTATTGTTGTTTTGGGTCTCCTCTGTGTGGTACCTGAATTAGCGCCAGGCCAGGCTCTGCTTTATTTTGGTTTCCCTGCTTCTGGCGTATCGGTTTCCACCAGGACACTCCCAGGCCAGGTTGTTTCCCTGGCCCTTATTGCATATACAAACTCCTTTAATTGGGCCTATCAAATAACCGTGTCGAGGATTTCTTTATATTCCCGCAATTATAATCGGTTAAAAAATAAACTGTAATTGGCGACCAAATTGAGACTACATTGTTGTGCGAAAAAAAGCTCCTTTATAGGAAGAAAAAAACCTCCCATTTAATTGGAATTTTGGTGCAATTTTAGCAGTAAAATTTATGGTGCAAAAAAATCTCACATATGTGTACATATAATTCCCAACTGGTTTTAACATTTCTAGAATGAAGTGAAGGTAATTGTGTGTGTTTGTACATGTTTGTGGTATTAAATAATAAACAAAAAATTATAATAATAACTTAAACTCTCACATAAAACTACCCAATATCGATTTTGTTTTTTTTTTTTTTTTTTTTAAATACCTTCAGTTTATTTACTTAAGACCTCACAGCCGCCTATCCATCTATCCATCAGACCTGGGCCTGTCCTGGAAGATTTATGTGGCCGGGAGTAACTAAAGTAGCAGTAGGATAATCCCGGCCTTGTCCCGGGGGAGTAACTTTAGAAGCCTTTCACACGGTGTCCCCCATCTCTCCAACTCCCCCAGGCTGGGCTCCTCCTGGGGCGAGGAGTGATTCTCGGCATTGTAATTATCGCATTATTTCTATGGCTTCTACAAAAGAAGCAACGGGTGAGAGAGAGAGAGGAGATAACATGAAAGGCAAAGAAAAGAGTTTTGGCCAGAAGGAGGAGGAGGAGTAGGAGGAGGTGGAGGAAGAGGGATCCCCCTGGGGGGAGACGGCGTGTATTGAATTGCAGGCGGGCGCCAGTTTCGAGGGTGTACAAATCCACTGACCTGGCTCTGCCTTGGCTCTTGACTATATTTTCCTAAACTGAGAAAAAAAAATGAATAAAATCAACGAAAGTTTTTTAAATTAATTTTTAATCATTTTTTAAACTCTCGAAATTAACGTAATTAAAGATTTCTTTTAAAATTTTACATATTTCAGGAGCTCCTTCAAGATTTTCTTTAAAATAAAATCTTTAAATATTTTTCTTTTTAAAAATAATACAATTTTCTGTGTAGTTTACACATCAAATACATTTTTTTTTTCATTTTAAAGAGATTTTTAATGAATTTTCAAAGTATTTTGAGATGAGAGAACTCTTCTAAAATTAAAGTATCTTGTTTTTCAAATGTGTTCCCTTTTCTTTTTTAAATACAATATTTTTTTCGGTGTAACCACCCCCCTATCTCCCCCCCTGGCTATCGTTTTTCCTGCCTTGAAGATCCGTGAGCTGAGCGGCGGCCAAGAAGATAAATAAAATAAATATTGACGCGCGTCCAATTCGCAAGAGAAAAAAAAACCAGAGAAAAAAATAAGCAAACAGGCAGGGAAACAGGGAAACGGAGAAACAGAGAAACCGAGAGACAGGGAGAAGCGAGCCGAGCTGAGCCGAGAGCTGAGCAGGGCAAACATCGTGACTTGGAGCGGCGGCAAAACATCAAGCATACTGAATAAAGTACTCAAAACGTATTTAAAAGTACTAAACACAAGTACCAGAGATTAATAAGCGCGTTTGAACTCGGCCGACCAGAAAACTAGTTAATGGTATACTACAGAGCACACACACACAGACACAAAAGAGCATTAAAAGAGTGTATCTTTCGGATACAGAATGTGGGTGGCCCCCAAGCCGCCTGAGAAAAAGTACTTGAAGCAGACATTAAAAAAGCTTTTCAGGTCAATGTATGTAAGTATTTGTATTATATAAATTCTAAAAATATTTCTAAATATATTTTAATATTAAAAAAACTCATTTTTTGAGAGTCAAGTGTGTATAAAGGTGAAATAATAGCTTAAACAAATCAATGTCAACTCGTGATCGCTGGGAAAAAGCAAATGGAAAATGGCAAACTGAAAAATGGTAAATGGAAAATGGCTAACAAGAGGCGTCGTGGAAAATATGATCGTTGGCCCATGTTGTCAGCTCTTAACGGCGGAGCAAATCCTCTTTGAGTCGCGGCCGGCAGCCTTTGAAGCCAGAAAAATGGAACCAAGTGTCACTGGAAGTCAACAGTTTGTGAGACATGGTTTTTCCTTCACATTCACAGGTAAGTTTTCAAGAGATAAATTGAATTTAAAGACAAGAAGAGCAAAAAGTAAGGCTATAAAATTATATAAATTATATATAAAAATTATATTAATTATATTAATTATATACAAAAATTATATCATTTATAAAAAAAAATATAAATTATATAAAAAAAATATTTGAAAAAATATTAAAATTATATAAATTATAAAAAAAATAAAATTATGTTCAAAAATTATATTATTTATATACAAAAAAATATAAATTATTATAAAAATATTATAAAAAATATTAAAAATTATATAAATGATATAATAAATATATAAATAATAAAAAAAAAAAATACTATAAAAAAATATAAATTATAAAAAAAAAAAATATAAATTATATAAAAAAATTATATTACTTATAAAAAAAATATATATAAATTATTATAAAAATATTATAAAAAATACTAAAAATTATATAAATGATATAATAAATATATAATTTATAAAAAAATATAAATTATATAAAAAAAATATAAATTTTATAAAAAAAATATAAATTATATAAAAACAAGAAAGAAAGCTAACTTTGGCCAGCCAAAGTTTGTATACCCTTGCAGGTAACAATTTAAATATATCATAACTAAGCCAAAAATTCATTAATTTCGATTCGGAAAGCAGTTTTGCGTTAGTTTTTATTAATTTAAAAAAACTGCATACCAAATTTAAAATTTTAAGAAATCAAAATTTTTCGCCATTTTTGCAAATTTTAATGATGTAACCCCTTATCACATTTCGCAAAAATGACTCAAAATTTGATTTCCCTCAAACATGGCTTAAACGATTCGTATTTTAATGCTGATCAATAATATATATGGTTTATGGGGTCGGAAATGACTCCTTCACTTAAAAAAATATTATTTTGTATTATAAAATCAGATTTTTTATATTAAAAAATATCATAACTCGGCCAAAAATGCATTAATTTTAAATCGGAAAACTGTTCTGTGTTAGTTTTTATGAGGTTAATAAATCTGCATACTTAGTTAGAAAAAAATTTTAGGTCAAAAATTGAGAATTTTAATGATGTAACCCCTTATCACATTTTGAAAAAATGGCTCAAAATTTGATTTCCCCCAAACATGGCTTAAACGATTCGTATTTTAATGCTGATCAAGAATATATATGGTTTATGGGGTCGGAAACGACTCCTTCACTTAGAAAAATATTATTTTGTATTATAAAATCTGATTTTTTATATTAAAAACAATCATAACTCGGCCAAAAATGCATTAATTTTAAATCGGAAAACTGTTCTGTGTTAGTTTTTATGAGGTTAATAAATCTGCATACTTAGTTAGAAAAAAAATTTTAGGTCAAAAATTGAGAATTTTAATGATGTAACCCCTTATCACATTTCGCAAAAATGGCTCAAAATTTGATTTCCTCCAAACATGGCTTAAACGATTCGTATTTTAATGCTGATCAAGAATATATATGGTTTATGGGGTCGGAAATGATTCCTTGACTTAGAAAAATATTATTTTGTATTATAAAATCTGATTTTTTATATTAAAAAACTTCTTGATTTTTTTTTTAAATTAAAAATATCATAACTCGGCCAAAAGAGCATTAATTTTAAGTCGGAAAACTGTTCTGTGTAAGATTCTCTACAGTTAATAAATCTGCATACTTCATTTAAAAATTTTGAAAATTTTGAAAATCAAAAATTTAAATGATGTAACCCCTTATAAAATTTTGCAAAAATGGCCAAAAAATCGATATCTTCCTGACGTATCTAGAAAGATTCCCCTGTTGATGCTGAACAAGAATATATATACTTTATAGGGTCGGAAACGTCTCCTTCACTGCGTTGCAAACTTCTGACTGAAATTATAATACCCTGCAAGGGTATAAAAATATTATAAAAAATATTAAAAATTATATAAAAAAATATTAAAAATTATATAAAAAATATAAATTTTACAAAAAATTATAAATATATAAATTCCATAAAAAATGTATATAAATTTGATGGAAAAATTATATAAAATATATAAAAAATTATATAAATTATATAATTATATAAAAATTACCTCTAAATAAAAAGAGCACCACTTAAATATAAAGAAAATATAAAGAAAATAATAGCCTGAACAGAAAGAGTAATTACAGGCCTCTAGAAAAATCATAAATATATAAGCTGGTAAATATTTAGAAATAAATAAATAAATTAAATTAATTGATTAAATTTAAATAACAATTTACCAGCAACATTCCCTCGTTAATTGCATTTCTTCAATCTTTGTCAAGTGACAGACAATGGTTAACCATGTCTACCTTTTCAGTGATCTTTCAAAGATCCTCCAAAGATCTTTCAAAGATCTACTTCCGCAGCTCCTCCTCATGCTCATCCTCATCCTCATCCTCATCCATATCCGGATACGAAGCTATCCAAGATCTAAAACGCACGATCAACACAAATTGGACTAATCTCCTGCAAAACCCAAGTGATCCCCGCTTACGTACGCCATAAAAATAGGGACACTTAACCGAAAGAGACACGACAGACACAGCAAATAAAGAAAATAAAGCCCAGGGAATATATTATAGGGTAAACAAAAGACACACCACAAAGAAGAAGGCCAAGTGCAAGTGCTTACATTAGCTATTATTATTATTATTATTATTATTTTCTTACCAGATCGATCTCTTTGATGATATTTTTACGTGCGCATCCCAAGTTCAAACAACTGGCGGATCCCCGGGAATCAACAAACACAAACAAAGCCTTCACATCATCCCTATATATTTCAGATCTCTTGCTAGTGTTTTCGTTGCGGATTATGGATTTGAAGAAAGAAGAAGAGAGAGTGATCTCTGGGCAGGAAGTGCGCCCTGAATTGCCGCCAATTGAGGCCTTTTTATAATGAAATCCGAGAGTGTGAGTGTGAAAAAGTGTCTAAAAATGATCTTAATTACAAACCAAACATTATGGATTACCCACTTGGGTGGAGATCTTTATTTTAAATAGGTAAATATCAAGCGGAACAGGAAGCCTACAGGTGTTTACCCCTCTTAAAACTAATGCTATTTCGCAGGGTCCTACTCCTCCTCCTCCTCCTCCTCCAACGTAGATCAGATCCATAACGAATTTTGCAGCGATTCGTCTTGATCTTGAGAAGGAGCAGCAGCATCAGCAGGAGGAGGAGGTGGAGGAGGAGGAGGAGAAGTAGGAGCTGGAGGAGAATAAAATCTTATCTGGCTGCCGGAAATCAAAGCATACATCAAAGATTGCCGACGCCACCGTTGTTGCAGTTGCAGTCGCAGCAGCGTTGCAGCTTGTGGAGGTCGCGGTGTTCAATTGCAGCCACCTCATCCGCTGCCTTCCCCTCCCCCCTTCCCCCTAGCACCTGCCCCATATCCCAGAAAGAAAGCCAGCAACCACCCCCGGAATGGTCGACGTTCTGTTTTGTTTGATGTTGCCTGTCGGCTGTTGCGGTTGGTCGCCATTGCCGATCGAATTTCCACAGGCAACACTGGGAGAAAAGTGTGTGATACAGGTGAGTTTTTAAAAATAAGAAATATTTTTTATTATTATTTTATATTATTATTATTACTATTATTTTATATTATTATTATTATTTTATATTATTTTAGTTATTCTATACATTCTCTATGCAATTGCACCTCCTTTTTTTCACAGTGCCTTTCAGAACCCACACACAAACACCGTCGAACCAATGATCATCGCTGAGCAGCAGCACCAGGTTGGATGGCAGTAGTCATGGCTCAAAGGAAAAGGGTATCTCAGCCGGCAGCCACTGATTTATCTGAAGGAAAAGGGAATACGCACAGCTGTCTACAGCTATGACAATAATGTAAGTGACAGATCACTTTCCCTCTTTCGACTTTTTAAGTTTCCTAAATCTAAGGTTTATCCTGAACCTGCCACTATGTGCGAAACGCCTCATTCTGACACCAAAATAGGCCATATATCATATATATATATATATATATACCTGCGATTTAGGAACCTGTGAGAGTACGTGGGGGCTCGCCCCTTTTAGGATTTCTTTCCTTTATGATGGGCATAAAAACGTGGAATTTATTTGTCTTCATTAGGTGTACAGACCTCAGGATGGATAAGTACATATATGTGTGTTTATGGCTGCAAGATCTGTGCTCAAACATGCTGCAAGCACTGCCAGAAAAAAATTGGGAGAGGAGAACAGACTTTAAATTTATTAAATTTGAGTTTAAAAGAGGAGAAATTTTGTGAAGAAGGTAAGTTGTATAACAAGTTTGTAAATAATTAAGATTTTATATATTTTAAAAAATATTTTATATATATATAAATTTTTAAAAATATTTTATACTTATATATATTTAAAAAACTATTTTTATATATTTTAAAAAATATTTTTATATATTTAAAAATAAATGTATATATTTTTTTAATAATATTTTTATATATTTAAAAAATATATTATTAATTTAAAAAAAAAATTTATATTTATATATATTAAAAAAATCAAATTTTATATATTTAAAAAAAAATATATTTTTATATATTTAAAGTATAAAATTTATATATTTTAAAACACATTTTTAATATTCAAAAATATATATATTTTTATATATATTTATATTTTTTTATTATATTTTTTTATACATATTTCTATATACATTTTTGTACATATTTTAATATATATTTTTTTTCACACTATACTTGTTCTGTAAAATACAAAAAAAAAACCTTGCCATCTTTCTTTTCAGTGTCTCAGTTGCAACGAACATGTTGGTCGCTTCGGAAGCGAAGAAAACCCAACAACCGGCGACCGGTTGCCGGCAGTTGGTTCGAAAGACACCGAAAGAGCGGACGACGACGACGACGGTGATTCTCAGTGCGCGTCTCCCGACAATCGAAATCGAATTGTAAAAAATCGAAAACGCGTAATTTTTCCAGTGCGAAAAATATTGGAAAGAAAAACTATCCACAAAAATTAAATGCTATTTTTTTCACGTGCTCGCGAGTGATTTATGAAAAGTGAAGTTGAAATATTGAAAACTAAAGAACCTTCAGGATGAGCTGCGTCTGATTGAACCCTTACCGTGTCAGATCTCAGATCTCCAAGCTCCAAAATGATACTGATTTTGATCCTCATCCAGTTCCTGGCCAGCTTCACCAGTGGCAGCAATCTCGGCCTGAATGGCCACCAAGTGGCGGCCGGTTCGAATGGATTACAGTGCCAGCGGATCAGCGTTTCCGCCTGCCAAGGTCTTGGCTACAACATGACCGCGTTGCCCAACCTGGCGGGTCACACCAATCAGCTGGAGGCTGAGCTGCAGGTAAGCGAGCCACTCTCTCGTAGCCACTAAGCCACAAAACAAACCGAAAACCCCAAAAAAAAAAAAAAAAAAACTAAGCCAAAAGCTGGCACGTCTTCGGGCCGCGGCGATCCCGTGTTCTTGATAAGCTTCGCTTTTGTGTGGCCCATAAAAATACTTCTCGTCGCTTACGTGCGAAAAACAAAATACAAATAGGTAAAACAAAGTAATAAAAATAAGGGGAAAAGTAACAGCAACTAAATCTAAAAGCCAAACATAAAAGAAAAGTCAAGTTAGCCAAGTAGCTGAGCGGGGGATACACTGATTTATTATAGTTTAGGGGATTTAGAAAGAAATTTTAATGTTTATTACGCTTGTTTGTGGTTTATTTTGAAATTATTGAATTAAAATATTAATATTATAAGTTAAATTAACATATTTACTCTTTTTGCCATTTTTAAATATTATTTTATTTATAAACTTTCATTGAATTCAAATACCCTTTAAAAGAGCATTTAAATGAGGACAAAAATGAGCACAGAAAAGCTACAAAAAGTGGCAAAATGTACAAAATTTCCAGAGTTAGAAGGGGGAACATAAAAAGAAGTTTCTTTTTTGGGGATGCTTCCGGCCTTTAAACAGATATTTTTAGATATTTTCTTAATTTTTTTGTATTATTAATGTATAATAAAAAAGCTAGTAAATATTAATTTAGATAAATATAACATCTTTTTGTTAGGGCAGCAGGTTGATCTTAAAAATGACCCCTTTATAGTAGTATTCAATTACCACAAAAAACTCTCTTAAATTTTAGTAAATACCTTTATTTATGGGCCTTCTGAAATTCCTAAATATTAACGATTCATAAGCATTATCATTTCGTATATTTAAAATATATTTAACCAGCTTCAATCTAATCAGGGTTCGTCGCTTTCGAAATCAGAGCATTATGGTAATTGGTGTGTGTTATTTATGAAATATGGTTTGCATTTCTAAGCTGGCGATTTGAGAGCTGCTCCGTAGAAGAGGTTCTTATTCCTATGTTTTTTCTTCTTTTGCTATCGTTGCCCTTACACTCACTTTGTGCGTGTGTGTGCCTCCCGCTGTTCTGATAGTGTCTATCGGGGTTTTCATTTCCATTAGCAACGCTCGCGGAGGAGGGAACAACAAGAGAAGGCGGCAAAAAGAAAAAAGAAGACCGAAGAGGAAGGTTTCCCCCCTCCTACTCCTGGTTCTATCTAGATAAAAGTGGAAACAACACTTAGGGACAAATACAAATGCATTGGTTTTATCAGTCCGAAAAAAAAAAACAAAGTCAAAAGAAGTGACATTTAATTGCTTTTCAATTAGGAAAGGAAGTCGCCTAATGGAGAAGAAGCTATTCAGCATATATTTGACTTGAAAAATGACTCCATAAACAAGGTTTAAATATTAAGAAAACACATTTTTGAAATGTAAACAAACCCCGCAGAGAATCATAACTAAAGATTAGGTCTCTCTGTTACACCTTTTAACCAAATTTCGTTGAGTATACACTGGCTTTACTTAATTCCCAAATATGTTGCGGCTTAGAGAAAGAGAAGCTCAGCTATTTGAGGTCATCCTCCCCTCTTTCCTCCATAATTTACCGTGAAAATGGCCCATGAAAATCGCTGAGTAGCCGCCGGAGTGCGTGAAGAGAGCAGAATGGGCAGGCCATTTAGTGGAGATCTCAAAAGAGCCACAAAAAACCAAGACCAAGGAGTTAGTTAGTCGTAGATCGAATCCGGGGATCGGGTAGCGGGAAGACCTGTGCGATTGTGCCGGCGACACTGGGAGAAAGAAATACATACATTCGCTACAAGAAAGAGGGAAATGTGCTAAGACCACTGAAAGAAATTAAAAGAAAGAAATTAAAGGCATATAACAAAAATTAATAAATAAAGAAAAATACAAATCCGCTGGAAAAACAATTTCAGCGGAGATTATAAAACTTTTAATGTTTTAGAAATGTCAAGGAAAGTTTTTTTTAATGGATTTATTATTTTAAAAAATGATTACTAATTAATTGTAAAAGAAAAATTATGATTTGCTAATGGAAGTTTTTTTTTATGAATTAAAATGTTTAACTAAAGCTAAAAAAATATAAACAAACGTTAAAAAATATATAAAAAACCTAAATAAATTTTAAAAAATCTAAAATATTTTAATACACAAAATTTCAAAATCAAGAACTTCCTTTTTTCGCTCACTGTTAACAAAACGCATCAGTTTCGGCTTTGAATTTTTGGGCCTAGCTCAAGATAGAAGCTGTGCCTGTGTGTGTGTGTGTGTGCATAGTCGAGTCCATTAACACCTTTCCTCCGACTTCGGCCTCCTTTGAGCAGCCAAGCATCGGGGCATTTCCATGCCCAGGCCCAGGCCCATGACCGCTTTTGGGATGAAAAAGGCAAATGTCGATGCCGCTTTTGTTTTTCTTTTCAATGTCCAAGTCCATGTCGATGTTGGATGCTAAGTGCAGACACCAGAGATGAGGCAGCTGGCTAGTTAATGTGTAAAAAATATAAATGATATAATTTAAAAGTTATAAAAATAATTATATAAAATAAAAAACTGAAAGAAGTATAAAAAAGAACCTGGTAAAGTATAGAGTTTAGGTTTATGAAAGGGAAAACCTTTAAATAAAATTACATAAATATTTAGAAAATATTTTTTTAAGTATTTGCCTTACTTAATGTATTTTCTTTTTATTAAGAAATTTAACTTATTTCCATAAGATTTGTTTGTAAAGACCAGGCATCACTGACAGAAAAAGATGCAGGAGCCACTGACCATAGATCTGGCTGCAACTCACCTCTTCTCCATTTAGTTTTTGTATTTTTTTTGTTTGGGCGGTTGCCCGCCTACTTTGTATTTCTTCTTTTTGTTGTTATCTTGGAAAGAAAATAAAATGCATTGTCCGGCCTTCTCTCTGATCTTCTCTCCGCATTTTCTTTCATTTCTTTCGTTGAAAGACAAAGGCAGCAGCCTCAAGTGGCAATAAAATCGAAAGCAGATCGAAACACATATCGAATCGGAAGCACGTTGGCGCAGATCAAAGAAAATCGGGGGAAAAATCAGAGAACTATACAGCTGAGACTATACAGAAAAATCAAAAGAGATCAAAATCAAATAAGATTCCACATCAGGCGGCTATAAAAATGCACATGGACATGGTATTTACATAATGCTGATCTCTCTCTCTCTATCTCTCTTGAGATCACATCAAACGGAAGGGAAGTTTACTTTAGTGTGGGAAGTAGTAGCCAGGTCTAAATGTACTTTTCAGATATTTAAAAGGCCAAAAAAAGGTGCTGGTGAGGCTGTTTGTTAGACATGTTTCTCAGGATGAAAAAACTAAACACTAAGTTCTTGTTATTATTTTCTTTTTTGATTATTATTACATTTAGAAATGTCACAAAGAGGTATATATAGTTCCCCCTGAGATGGTTATCTAAAAAAAAAAAAGAACATACACACACAATTTCAATTAATTTGCTTGTAATTGTCGCTTGATGAGCACTTTGTCGGCACTTGATCGCAACGCCCACTTGGCAAACAAAAACAAGCAAACAGACAAACACAAAATAGGAAAATCAACATACAAACCGATAAACTTACATGTAACCACTTCCCAGACCGATCTTGGACATGTCACCACCATAAAAGAGGATGGTTTAAGGAGGGGCCACTCTAAAAATATAAAAAAAAGCCTCACTCAGCCCCAACAGGGCGTTTGTATGCTTTACCTATCTCTTGTGCCTTCAGATAAAGAAAAAATATTCGTAGTTAAATGCCGTCAACAAAGTCGACTGACTAAATATCAGAATGCCAAAAAAAAAAAGAACAAGGGAAATCATTTAAGAAAATTAAAAGGAAAATAACAGAAAATTGAAAGGAAAATAACAGAAAATTGTATACAAATTTAAAAGATTATTGCTTTCTGTACTTATAAATTTAAATTTTAATATTAAGCGGAAAATAATAATAATACAAATTTTAAAAATTAATTTCAAGTTGAAAATAATAATTAAAATTTTTAAAATAAATAGTTAGCAGAAAATAATAATGATAAAAATTTTAAAAATAAATATTGAGCAGAAAATAATATTAATAAAAATTAAAAAATAAATATTATGCAGAAATTAATAATAATAAAATTAAAAAATAAATATTATGCAGAAATTAATAATAATAAAATTAAAAAATAAATATTAAGCCGAAAATATTGATAATAAAAATTGAAAATATAATTATTAAGCAGAAAATAATAATAATAAAAAGTAAAAAAAAATATTAAGCAGAAAATAACAATAATAATAATTAAAAAAAAATAAATATTGAAGAAAATAACGATAATAAAAATTTAAAAAATAAATATTAGGCACAAAATATAAAAATTACAATTTAAAAAATAAATATTATGCAGAAAATTAATTTAATTATAATAATAATAATACTAATTTAATAATAATTTATTTAATAATATTTTTAACGAAACCCTATTCTTATATGTTTTCCATTTCAATTGAGAATAGAAATTTTTAAAAAACCTTTACCCAAGCGCCAATATTTTAGTTAATATTTTTAAAAAGAAATCCCCTTTGATTTTAGAATTTTTACCACTGGCATTCTGTGTCGGCATTTTTTATGTAAAGTAATTGTAAATATTTGAGCTAGGCATTAGCCCCACCAGAGCAGCCCCACCTGCAGAAAAAAAAATAACAGAATGAAATAAATAAATAAAACAAAAAGGAAGAAGGAGAGAGAGAAAAAAACATCAGACAAGGCCGCGGCGGCCACATAGATGGCAGTCGTCATAAAGCAAAGGCAACGATGGCGACAATAAAATTGTTTGATTTTGAAAATCAGAACCCATTAAGATTGCCCAGCAACCAGTTGGAGAGGGGGTAACCCCTCTCTCTTCTCTCTGAATGGGCCCCCTTTGATGGAAATACTTTTTGGGGAGTCCGAAAAGGAATGCCGTAAAAAACTTACTCGTA